GTTTTGCTAAAAAAACAATTATTCAAGAAACATATCAATTTGTATCTCATTTCAAACCTTGAAGAAAACATTTTTTTAATTGACTCTTTTATTAAAAAGTATGTATTGGACCATTTGTGTGTGTTTAAGTGTGTATGGGCAAGCATGTGAGTATATGTCTATGTGTGCATATGTGTATACATGCAAATGTATGTGTGTACATGTGAGTGTATGTGAGTATGTGCCTGTTGGGGTTGGTGAGGGGAATCACTTCATTTAAGCAGGGCAGAGATATAGCTTGGTATTATAAAGAGAACACTGCCCTGGGAGTCAGAAAGCCTTCAGTCAGGTTGCCGACTTGCTACCACTTTCCCTCTTGATCTTTTTTCTCAACTACAAATGTTATGGTTGAATGAGATGACCGTTGAGGTCTCTTTCGTACAGTGGAATAAGCCCTCGCCCTGGAATCAGAGAACCTGAGTTCAAATTCCACCTCTAATGTGACCTTTGGCAATCACTTAACCTTTCTGGGCCTCAGTTTCCCCACCTGTAGAGTGAGGGAGTTGAACCAGATGGCGTCTCGGGTTCTTTGTATCTCCAAATCTAGGATGGTTCTGGTCTCTGCTTCCTAGAAGATAAACTTCACCTTCATTCCAAGGTTTCCAAAGCATGAAATAGATGTTCTCTTAATCCTAGTTATTTTCTGAAGATACCAAAGGAGACAGATGGAAGACCAGCTAGCTCTCTGTGCCCATGCTAGGATGGACTTCAGTGCCTTTCTGGAGTTCTCCCAGAGCATTGCTGGTGAGGTCAGAAACAGAGCATGGCATGCTGACTTCAGGCTCCATGCCATGTCTAGGAGGACATGCCGTTCCCATTCAGATGGAAAGATATCAAGATCATCCATGAGAAACCCTTTGATCATCTACTCTGGGGATTCAAGGTTAACAGAAACATCTTTGCAGAGCCAAGTGATATCAAAGGGATGGACCCTGGACAACTGGTTTGAAAAAGAACTCAAGATAGCTGCAGACATCACCAGGCAAATGGCATCTGGTTCTGCTTTGCTACCTGTCTGTTGAGAAGGGGTGAAGCTGATGGAGATGGTGTTTGTAAACTGTAGTCCTGTCGTTGATACATCACCGGTCCCTCATCACTGGTTTTGCTTTTGGATCCCCAGTGCTTAGCAAAGTGTCTGGTATGTGCTAAGCGCTTGAGAAATGCTTGGTGACTGACTGATTGATTCCAGGAGTCTATTTTCTTAGGGATGTGGAAAGGATGAAAAAATTGATATAGAACTTGCTTGAGTTCTATAGGGAAAAGATACTACATAACCCAAACTACTTTTGCCATTAAGCTCTGCTGGTAGAAGCTGGTCATACACACATTTGGGTTATTTCTAAAAGTTTCCCACTTTGACCTACATGGAGGAAAACACAATTTATTATCAGTGAAGAGCTAGGCTTCTGAGCTGAAGTTATGTTGTCCAATCCCTCCATTATATAGGTGAGGAAACTGAGACCCTGACAGGAGAGGGGTTTTATTTGCTTAACATCTAGAAAGCAGTAAATCGGTGACTCAGACTCAGATCCACTGATTCCAAGTCAATATTCTTCCTATGATACAAGACTGCCAATCCTTGAGACCTTAGCTGAACCATTTTATCAGGAGATGGATGGATAGATGGATAAATGGATGGGTGGGTGGTAGATGGATTGATGGATAGGTGAATGGATGGAGAGAGAGAGACAGAAGAGAGAGAGACAGAGAGAGAGAGAGACAGAGAGAGACAGAGAGAGAGACAGAGAGAGAGACAGAGAGAGAGAGAGAGAGAGAGACAGAGAGAGAGAGACAGAGAGAGAGAGACAGAGAGAGAGAAGACAGAGAGACAGAGAGAGAGACAGAGAGACAGAGAGAGAGACAGAGAGAGAAGAGACAGAGAGAGAGGCAGAGAGAGACAGAGACAGAGAGACAGAGAGAGAGACAGAGAGAGACAGAGAGAGAGAGAGAGAGAGACAGAGAGAGAGAGACAGAGAGACAGAGAGAGAGAGAGGAATTTATAAAGTTATTAGAAGAGAGAGAACTTGGTACTCAAAAGTTTTTTAAATGAGTGTTAAAATTGTTTTTACATGTAATTGGAGAAAATAAAATATTGAATTTTTAAGTTATTATTATTGTTCTTAAATTGCTCGGATGGGTCCGAGGTCAGACTATCCAACCTTGTTAGAGAAGGTATCTGGAAATTCATATTATCTGGGATAGACAGAGGTTTCAGAGGGTGCAGACTACTGACCAATTTCTTTTTTAAAAAAATAATTTTTATTGACTTCTTTATTTCTATATTGCTGAAATCCCCCCCTTACTCCTCTCCCTCCCCCAGTCATCCATATAACTACATATTGGTCTTCAAAAAAGCCACAATGATTTCATCAGAAAGGAGGGCATTTTGTTACTGTGGTGGAGAAGGCAGCATGACAGTGTTCAGAGGACTGAAGTTAGGTTAAAGGAGACCTGGGTTCAAGTCCTCTCCCTGAGACACGCTCACTGTGTGGCCTTGGGTAAGGACATAACCTGTCTAAGAGTCTAAGTTCATAGAAGACATTCAACATCAGGACATTCCTACCCCAGTGAAATCCAAGACTTGGATCAAAAGAGAAAAAAAAATGGAAAACAAGTCAGCAGATTCCATCCTCCTTTCAGTACTGTTTAAGGAGGGCTCCAAACATGACCAAGGTGAATTTCAGAAAGACAGAGCCCAGAGATGGAGCAGGAGCTTACAGGCACTCTCTGAGTCATTCAGGTTCCCAGACTTGGAGTCATCTTTGACTCAGTTTCCTTCATTCTCCAAATCAATGCAGTTATTCCATTCTGTTTATTTTTTCCTTCTAAATGTTTCTTGTTTCCATCCCTTCCTTTTACATTCTTTAGTCCAAACTCTTCTCACAGATTCCTAGTGGATTTCTGACTCCAAATACCCTCATCTACAAAGTGGGGGACAGCTAGGCAGCTCAGTGAATAGAGCACTGGACTTGGATACAGGAAGACCCAAATTTGAATTTACTTCAGACACTTACTAGCTGTGTGATCCTGGTCAAGTCACTGAACTTCGTCTGCTTCAGTTTCCTCACCTATAAAATGGGAATATGATAGCACCTCCATCCCAAGATTGTTATGAGGATTAAAAGAGATAACCAGTGGGAAGGAAGTGCTTTGCAAACCTCAGAGTACTCGACAAATGTTAGTTATTTCTGCAATTCGTTCTGTGTGTCATTCCCAAATGATTCATCCTTAAACACTGCTCCCTCCAGGGCCTCCTCTCCTCAAGAATCTCTCTTACCTGCCTTTGTACACTCAGGATGTCCAGTTTGTACATTTCCTCGCCTATTTCCCACTCCTCCCAGCAGACGTCCTCTATCTGAGTCAGGCTGTGACTTCCCAGTCCTGTGAACTGGCTGCCATCTTTGTGAGTCCTTCATTCACAGAAGGTCCCTCCCCAGGGGACACCCATGCCTCCCATCTCTGATGGCTAGCCACCCTCCAGGCTCAGCCCAAGGTCCACCTTCTCCATGAGGCTCTCTCTGCCTCTCCAGCCTCTCTTCACGGTTCCCTTCTCATATCCTACAGAGCTCACTGACCCTCCACACAAGTGAGAACCCATGATCATGGCCAGAAACATTTATTTCCTTGATGATCAGACACCAGGTCAAAGATTTAGACCTGAAGGGAACTTAGAGGTCAATGAGTGCAGCTCCCTCATTTTACAGATGAGGAAACTGAGGCCCAGAGAGGTTATGCCCAAGGGTCAAAAAGATATTAAATGACAGCAGTGGGATTGGTTAGAAGGGATGGACCTTTAGAGACTTTTGACTCCAGTTCCTTCTTTTAACGATGAGGTTAAGGGACTGCACCAGGGTCGCAGAGCTAGTAAATGTCCAATGTAAGATTTGAACTCGGGTCTCCTGAAAGTTCTAGTTCCCTGTCTAGAAACAGTTAGGTGATACAGTGGATAAAACACTACACCTAGAGTCAGAAAATTCTGAAATCAAATTGGACTTGAGGCAATTACCAGCAGTGTTTCCCTAGACAAGTCTCTCTTAACCTTTCTCTACCACAGTTTCTTCAATTATAAAATGGGGATTATAAAGCAACTAACCCCCAGGGTTGTTGTGACAATCAAATGAGATTATTTGTAAAGCACTTAGCACATAGCAGGCACTTTATAAATGCTTGTTTCCTTCCTTTCTCCCTTCTTTCCCTCCCTCCTTCCTTCCTCTTTCCTTTCCTTCCTCCCTCTCTCTCCCTCCTTTGCTTCTTCCCTCCTTTCTTCCCCTCTTCCCTCCCTCCCTCCTCCTTTCCTCCTTCCTTTCCTTCCTCCCTTTCTCCATCCCTCCTTTGTTTCTTCTTCTCCTTTCTTCCCTCCCTCCTTCCTCCCTCCCTCCTTTTTTTACCCTTCCCTCCCTCCCTTTCCTCTCCTCTCCTTTTCTTTTTTCCTTCCATCCTTTTTTCCTTTCCATACATGAGCTAGGCTGTGCCTCTGGTGACAGACATACAATTAGTCTCATCTCCCCAGTGATACTGTAATTTCCACAAGAATGAGGAAACTACCTTAAACTCCTCTATCTCCCATGGTAGCACAGGGCTGTCCTTAGGGGGAAATGATACTTAGGAAAATGTAGGTGATATAAAAACAAGAGCTACTAATCAAAATTTACTTTTTAAAAAAGTAATACATATTTATTTCATGGCTGGTTGATTGATAAAGTTGGAGAGGTGAATTAGAAGTGAAGCAACAGTTAAAATGAACAAGTAGATGCTGGGGAAGGGCTGGGGAGCAGATGACCAAGTGTATGTTCAGTCATTCTTCATCCTCTATCTGGACACTTGTTATTTTACTAAAAATTGCTCAATCAGCCTCCCATGACAATTTTTGTTCTTTTATTGGCTTGAAAGATACCATTGCTTTCCCCATTGGGAAACCCACACATATTGAGAAGCCAAAACATATCCTGGTAGATACTCACATTCATTTCTGCTTTGGATTCACAATGGAAGTTTTCAAATGTGTACTTCTCTGATCTCCTCTGGCGCCTCTTGAACAATCTGGCCCCTCGGTTACTGAGGACTGACAGTTCTTCCAGCATGATGTCTCTGGGGATGCTGAGCTTTTTGCCGAGGTCCATACCATCTACTTCTGCAAAGCAAGACACAAGATTCTGGTCACTCTCAATGTTTCTGGACATTGGCTTAATTCAGCATCTATACTTTCTCTCTCTCTCCTCTCTCTCTCTCTCTCTCTCTCTCTCTCTCTCCTCTCTCTCTCTCTCTCTCCTGTTAGATCTAAGAGGGAGCTAAGAGGATCTGTTTCTAAGCTGTTATGATGCCACTAAGCAGTGACCTATTCTTCTGGTTTCCTGCTCAGCAGGACTCTTCTGACCCTACTACAAAAGAGAGTAAAATCCCTCCATTTTCTTTACTGAAAGGAGACTCAGATTGGGTGTGACTCACCAATGGTTTCTACCATTCCAGCCTCCTGTGGAAAACTCAGGCTAACAACAACAACAACAACAAAAACCCATGATTTAAAAATGCATTGGAAAGCCTAGCCCCAAAGAAGAGTTATGAAAAAGGTGCTTCTCTTCTTTGCAGAGGTGGGGGCTATGGGTGTGAAACATCGTGGACAATGGTGGAATTTTTCACTGCATTGGTTATTTTTGCTGAACTATTTTAAAAAGTCTTTTAAAAATTCCTTTTATTCCTTTCTGGGAAGGGAAGGGGGAGTGATACTTTGGAAATTGTAGATGATGTAAAAACAAAAGGAACCACTCAAAATTTATATTTAAAAAAAGAAAGAAATGGTTAAGAGAAACATCCTCAGATTAAGAGGCAACTAAATCATATAGTGAATATTCATAAGGGTTTAAATTCTCTGGGTATGTGTGCGTGTGTGTGTGTGTGTGTGTGTGTGTGTGTGTGTGTGTGTGTGTGTGTGTGTAGGAGGGAGGTGTAGAGTCAGGCAAAATAAAAACTCTCCCAGAGTGCTGTCCATTGTATCACCCGGTTGACCTCAGGTACTGAGAGCCCAGCTCTATCTCTCCTTCACTGGGTGCTGGTCTAGAGATATCAGACAACTTGATTTTCAGCTTCTCCCTTTAAGGATTTCTAGTTCATCAGTGGACTAGATCAAGTTCTTAATCTTGGCTCAGTAAACTTGTTTTTTAAAGTGTTTTGGGAACTACATTTCAATATAACTGATTTCCTTTGTAATCCTATGCATTTGATATTATATATTTATTTTAAATGATTTAATTATAATTTAAAATTTAATTATGTAATTTAATTATTATTTAAAATTATAAATATATTTATGTATATATGTATGTTATATATTTAAAAAACACAATTCTGAGAAAGGGTTCATAGACTTCCCCAGAGAGTTAAAAGGGTTCCACGACACAGAAAAGGCTCGGAACCCCTGTTCTAGAAGAATCCTTGATGAGATTAGGGGTCGCTGACAATACCTGGAGACCTTCAGCCCCACAGAAACTGCTGAGCACCTGTGTGGCTTTGGGCCAGTCACGGCCACTCTGAACTTCAATGTCCTCTTCCATAAAATGAGGCATTTTGACTAAATCCAGAGTTCTTGCCCCTTGGGCAGCCTGGTGAAACTCAAGGAGCCCTTCTCAGAATAATGCTTTTAAATGCATAAAATAAAGCACACAGTATTTCAAAGGAAACCAGAGGTCAGGGAAAATAAAGATGTAATTTTTTTTCTGATCCAAGTTCACCAACCCCATGAAATATATCCACGGGCTTGGTGGGCCACCAGGTAAAGAACCCCTGCTACCTGTGGATAATAAGTTAAGAACGCCTACTCTCTAAGGTCCCTTTTGGCTCTAAAGTCTATCATACTACACTCTCTTTGGGTCTCAGTTTTTTTCTCTGTAAAATGTGTGTGTGTGTGTGTGTGTGTGTGTGTGTGTGTGTGTGTGTGTGTGTACAGGGTGGGGGAGGAGGCTTCCCTTGATAATCTCCAACGCTCCTTCCAGCTTTAAGATGCTGTGGAAACTTGACTGTGAATGGAAAGGAATCAGAGCCATAAATGGCAATTGTACTTGGGGACAGTGGCCCAGTCTGTGCCCTCAGTTCAGTTAGCCAGGGCTGGAGGAATAGGGGGAGAGAGAGGGGTGGGGCTGGAAGGAGCTCATCTAGGGTGTGGTCACCAGGGGGAAAAAGTGGACCATCCACCAGCTTCCTATTTTAATTGATTATCCTTGCCCAGTTCGTATGTTTCTGCATTGCTGAAGGACTCCAAGCGCTAAGAATGGCCTCTAAATATAGCCACCCTAGGCACAGCCCCATTTGCCATCCCCTAGTTATGGCTTTGATCAGCCTCTGCATGCGGCTCTCAGCTTCTGACTGAACCAAGCCGTGCCTGGGCCCCATGATGCTGAGTTCCCGCCAGTTGCCACGTAGGGCCTGAACAATGCACATCGTAGTGCTGTCTGATAGATGATATGCCTCTGCTATTATCTATGTCCTCACCCTCATGGCTGGGAAGACTGAGATTAGATCATCCATCAAAAATAACTCCGGTCAGCCGTGCTCACAGAGCGCCAGCACCATGCTGATTAGCTGGGGGGGGGGGGGAGTTCAGCCTTTAAAGGTTCCAACATGGGAAGAACAGATCTAGAGCCCCACCAATTCATGGCTGCTGGTTCAAGGCTTGGGGCTTTAAAAAAAATCCTTTTAAAATCTGTAACTAGGAAAGGGCCAGCCACCTGCGTAACAACGGATGATGGCCTTGGACTTCAGGGAGAGCCTGAGCTTCCCAGCCGTCAGAACGTGCCCCATATGCCTGAGCCCAAGCCTCATGTAACACTCCCTGTTCTGGGCAGCTAAGGTCAGGGTTAGGGCAGCGATGTGGTGCAGGGGATAAAGCCCCAGGCTTGGAATCAGGAAGAAATCAGGTCAAATCTGGCCTCAGATACTTACTAGCTGTGTGACCCCGGACAAGTCACTTCACCCTGTTTGCCTCAGTTTCCTCATCTGTAAAATAAGCTGGAGGAGGACATGGCAAACTGCTCTAGGATCTTTGCCAAGGAAACCCCAAATGCAGTCATGAAGAGTTGGACCCGACTGAACAGCAAAAGGGTTAGGGTAGCTGAGCAATCGCCCACAAGGCATGCAGACTTTCAAGCTTACAAGATTCTTTTTCCTGTAGTACTTTATCCTGCAATGCCATGATGCTTTGAATTTTGGAAACCTGAAGGAAGTTTACATTTTGCCTGGAGAAAGGCAGGAATTCTTGATGGTGTAAGAGAATGCCCCTGACTAATGGGCACGCACTGAAACGCTACCACCCCTTCCTTCTCTGGGCCCTGCCTTGTCTTCTGGGTGTGGAAGGTTTTGGGTTTTGTTTTGAACTTCATGGCACCTCCCCTCCCCCCAAAAGAGGCAAATAACTTGTTCTGTTCGTTAGCTTTCCTGGTTGGATGATTATTGAATTCCATTTCTGTTAGCAGATTTTCATTCTGAAGTTGTAGTCTGTCTTCCTGAAACCCCATTTCCTCTCCTGAATGAAGGGGACAGATAGAACACAGTGGAAAGAAGGGTCAAAACCTCCCTTTCCTGGTGCAGGGGGTAAGGAGCTGGTTCTGAAGACAGGAGACCTGGGGCCACCATGATGCCTTTGTCTTTGCACCTCCAGCCTGGCCTGGGCCTGGCACTTAGTGGGTGAGCATTTAACAAGTGCTTACGGATTGCTTCATTGATTGAATAATCACTCCTGTGTGATCTTGAGCAAGTCACTTAATTTCCCCGGGCCTCAGTTGCCTCATTGGTAAAATGTGAGAGTTGGTCAAGATAACCTGAGAGGTCCCTTCCAGTTCTAGGTCTATGAGACCTTGGACAACCTTCTTGGGCCTCAGTTTCCTCATCTGTAAAATGTGGCAGTCAGACCAAATGGCCTTGGAGATCTACATGAGGATGGATCCATCCTTTCATGGGGACAAGAGTTCACACGTAGCTCAGCAAGGGGACTGGCCAAAGCATGTGTCAGAGGTCATGGCAAGCCACATGGGCCTTGTGGGTCTCCCTTGTGTTTCCTAGCCTGAAATTTCATAGGATCATGGGTCCTTCAAGATATTTAGACCTGTTGTTGCTGAGTTGTTTTCAGTCATGTCCGACTCCTCCACCTCTTTTTTGGCAAAGATCCTGGAGTGGTTTGCCATTTCCTTCTCCAGCTCATTTTCCAGATGAGGAAACTGAGGCATGCAGGGTTAAGTGACTTGTCCAGGGTCACCTAGCTACTAAGTGTCTGAGGCTGGATTTGAACTCATGTCTTCCTGACTTCAGGCCTGGCACTTTAGCCACTGTGCCACCTAAATGCCCCTATTTAGACTTACCCCTCATTTTACAGATAACCTGAGGCCTAGATTGCTCAAAATCACACAGAAATTGAGGAACAGGTTTGAGATCTGAATCCAGATTCTCTGACATCAAATTCTCTGCTCTATGTCCTGCCCGATTATCATCCAGTTCACAAAGTGCCTGTAAAAGTTTGTTTGCTGGGTACAGGAAGTAAAAAGAAGCTGAAGTGCTAAAGGTGGTGCTTCCTGGAGCTCAGAGGAAGAAGAAGGGGAGCATTTGTGCACGGGGCTCCAGGGCATTTGATGCATTTTTAACTGTAAGCGCAAATGCACTCTCCCAGGCTCAGGTAAATATTTATGTCAAAGTTATTGACCTTTCCCTCCTCCTTCCCAACCCCCATTAATCAACTGAGAAAAGCCAGAGTCTCCCACCACATCCCGAGCCATCGCCAGTCATCGGACTTTTGTCCTGCCGTTAGACTTCGGCGACTCTGGAGGAGGGTGAGGCTGACGATTTTGCACAGCTCTGTGTCTCTTAACTCTAACTCCCTCGAAAGTCGAGATGTCACCCTCACAATGTCACTGGGCCCCTTGGAGAACGGAGGATGAACCCCTACAACAGATGCTAGAGTATCGCAACATTCAGGAAGACCTGGATTCGAGCCCCCCATATGCTTCCTAGCTCCGCGACTCTGGGTAAGTCACAGAACGCCTCTGTGCCTCAACGTTCTCACTCACAAAGAGAGGGGGTTCTATTTGACGGTCTCTGAGGCTCTTTCCAGTTCTAAATCTGTGTTCCTATCATCCCATTTGCAGAAATGTCCCTGTGCCTATATTCCCCAGGGGTGACTGAAGACTTCCTCGGCTCTTGAGCTGAGGAGGAAAGCCTACCAGCTTCCCCTTTTCACCCCACCAGGCCAGTAGTGGCTCACGATGTGTTTTCAAGCAAACAAAGCTTTTCTCAAGCAAGAGTCAGAGGGCTGGGAGGGTGGGGAGGTCGGCGGCCCAGAGTCTGATAGAGACATCTATGGAATCACTTCTCTGTTCTTCCAAGGCTTACAATACTACCAGACCATGAAGAACAATTATTCTCTGCAGCTTCCTGTACCTGCAGTAAGGTCCTCCTCTTTTCCTCTCCCCACCTGTACACAATGCAACTGGATAGGGCATCACCATTGGTATGGACTGGGTATGCCACAAAGGCAACGTGGTGCTAGGTGGGCAACCACTGTAACCAAAGAGCTGGACTCTGGTAGAGTCAAGAGATCTACATTTGAACTCTAGCTTTGACCATCAGGGTAAGCTGTGTGGTAGACTGGGAAAGAATGCTGGATCTGGACTCAAAGGTCCTGGGTTCTAATCCCAGTTTTACCACTTACTACCTATAGAACCTTGGACCAGTTATTGACCTTGTCCAGGCTCAATTTTTTCATCTGTAAAATGGGGATGTTCGGTTAGATCATTTCCAAGTCCTAAATCTGTGCTGCTAATTGTGAGCTTTGTGACTGGGCAAATCTCTTCTCTGAACCTCTCCTATAAAATGGGGCTAATTATTAATAACTACCCCGCCTCTTGTGGGGATGCCATTGGGAAAGCATTTTGCGAGTGCCAGATAGCATCGGCAACCACAATTATAAGTCTGACACCAGAATCTGGTGACCATGAATTATAATATGGCTAAGGGATAGAGCTCTGAACCTGGAGTCAGGAAGCCCCTCGTCCAACCTCTGCATTCAAGGCCCCGTGTGATCATGCTCGTTAACTACAAGGGGATTTGGAAAGGGAATTACCATTCTCCCCATCCCTGGACTGACAGATGAAGTTCCTTCTGTCAGAGCTCTCTGTTCACTTTACAGCGGCCATAGTGAAGCCTCATCACCTGGGATGCTGGGATTCAAATGGAGGATCCAGGAAGAGTCATTTCATGGGGCACTGACTAAAGAGAGCAGGAAATCATTTAAAAGGTTTAAATACAAGTTTGACTGTCTATGTGACCTTGGCCAAGCCTCCTTTCCTCTCCCCGCTTCATTCCCCAGTGAGGAAGCTGGACTGGCCTGGAACAGGTTCTCAGCTTGAACTCCCTTCCCATCCCCCAGTGGTACGCTGGAGGCAGCTTATACCAGCTCCTGAGGGTGATTGGCAACTCTTCAGTCTGAGCCAGTGCTACAGATCAGAGCCTGATTTTTTTGTTTTGTGAGTGATGGGAGAAAATGATAATAATGCCAATTAATCTGACAAGTGCATCTTGAATGTGTACCTCCCCCAGCCCCAAGAGATGGTTGTTAAACATTTATCAACACACTCCTAAATCCACACACCCAAATTTCTGGGGGTCAGTAGATGTAGATGGGGAAAAATTACACCTTTATTTTCACTAACTCCTGACTGAAATTTAGCATTTTGTCCAGTTGTGAATTAAACAAAACAAAACATATTATTCTGAGGAGGGGTGTATAGGATTGACAAAGGGGTCCAGGACAGAAGATAGATTAAAAGCCTGTGGATTAGATAATGTCCAAGGTGGCTCAGTGGATAGAGGGCTAGGGCTGGAGTCAGGAAGACCTGAGTTCAAATCTAGCCTCAGACACTTAATAGCACGGCTGTGTGATCTTAGACAAGTCACTTGACTCTGTTTGCCTTAATACACTGTAGGAAGAAATGACAAACCATTCCAATATCTTTGCCAAGCAAACCCCATGGACAGTCCAGTCCACACGGTCATAAAGAGTTGAACATGACTGAAAAACAAAGGTTTTTTCTAGCCAGGACACTGTACAATCCTAGGATCCTATGTCCACCCCCAATTCCTACTTACACAGTTTTACATATTGGTTCCTGGTTGGCCTTTGCTGCAGCTCCCAAGGCCTCCCATGTGTTCCTGGGGCACCTTGGCAGGATCCCCAGGGCGTTCTGGTCCATTACTGTAGCCTACCTACTGCTCAGCCTGGGGCCTTGTGCCTTGACTTCCTTCCTCTGGTTTCTTAGAGTGAAGTGAGTGCTGATGTGAAAACAAACCAAAGAAAGAGCCCCGCACCCCTTGAAGTCTTCGCCTTGACTCCGAGGTTTCTGCCTGGTGTCCCAGGCCCAAAGTGCAAGGTTTTCTGCGCAGTTGCTCTGAGAGGCCAGGGACAGGATGTAAGCAGACTTCGCTGCGGCTGGGGCCAACTGGGCTTCCTTCCTCCTTGGCTGGGAGCCACCCAGCCAGCTCCTGCCCTCCTCCTGCTCTGTGCTGCCATGCTAGCTCATCCTTCCGGGCCCTCAATCCCATCTCATCCTGTGATATTATATCCGGATTGCATAATCATCCAAAATTTATGACACGCTTATCATATAACCAACAGTCACTCCTTACATGGGAATTTACTTTCAAAAAAAGTCTTCTAAGTGAATATTTTTCTCTTCATTTGATGACATATAACAGAGAAACATGGGACTTTGCTTGATCTTACAGCAGCTAGAGAGCTAGAATTAGCTTCCCATCTTTGTACTAGGAGTCTGAGGATTCAGGATGAGTCTTGGTCCTGCTCCTGAGAACTATTAGACCCTTGAACCAGACCTGGGAAGGGCCTTACGTTCTCCCACCTGGTCATGATCTGCCAATCCTAACAGCTCGGAACTCCCGGAGCCCATCCTTGTACCAATCTCTCTCTCCAATGCCTGCTCCCTTACTCCCACCCCCCTGAGTGGCTCACTCTACAGATGAGGGCAATGAGGTCCAGGAGGTGAAATGGCTTGGCTAAAATCACAAGAGTATTAGATGTCAGAAGTTAGATTTGAAGTCGGGTCCGCAGCTTCCAGAGCCAATGTCTCTTCACTGTACCAACTCACTCCCCCTGTGACCTTGAGCAAATTACCTGAGCCCTCTGGGCCTCAGTGGCCTTATCTGTAAAATGGGTGGGTTGGAGTCAATGACTTCTACAATCTCATCCATCTGATAATAGGATTAAGCTCAACTTTACATTGCATGCTAGAAGACAAGTAGCCAGTCAGAGTGGAAAGATCCCTCCCTAGAAGGAAGAATTCCAGTATAGACAGACACTCTCAACAGCCCTGGACTGTTCTCCCCTCATGAGGCTGTCTCCCTTTTTCATTTTTCTAAGCCATGTGGTTTAGTGGGAAGAAGGCTGACCACGAAGACAAGGTACCAGAATTTAAAGCCTATCTCTGACATTATCATCTGTGCGATTGTGGACAGATCACTTACCCTCTCGGAGCCCCTCTTACTCATCTGTAAAATGGGGGTGATGATCTCAGCAATGCTTGCCTCACACGGTTCAGATGAGAATAAGGTAATAGAGTGCCTTCTGTCACTGCTCAGTCCTGTGTGACTCTTCAGGACTCCATTTAGGGTTTTCTTGGCAGAGATACTAGAGTGGTTTGCCATTTTTTTCTCCAGCTCATTTTACAGATGAGGAAACTGAGGCAAACAGGGTGAAGTGACTTGCCCAGGATCACACAGCTAAGAAGTGTCCAAGACTAGATTTGAACTCAGGTCTTCCTGACTAGGCCTGGCCCTCTATCCACTGCACCACCTTACAAATCGTCAAATGCTGTACATCCAGGTATCCTCCTCACGGCTAACAGCCATGCTTGAGGTCCAGGTCTGTGTTATAGCTCTTCCTGTGGTCACTTCAATCCCACTCCCTCTTTTCTGCAGGAGTGCAGCCGCTCGAGAGACCTTCTTCCATCCTCCCTTCCCACCCTCCCTTCTTCCTCCTCTGCTAATTTTTCCTGTCACTTTCTGACCCTTGCCTCTGTTGCTCAGTCCCAGAGGGGTAGGTATGTTTGTGGGCATGAGGGGCATGGGCATGGTTTGGGCAGCAGGGGCAGAGGTCTGGGAGTGCAGCAGACTGGTCTACATGTGCTTCATCCATTCATTCATTCAACAGAAGTGAACATTCATCAACAATTATTCACACTAATAAATGTGCATCACAACATGAATGTGCCGCTAGCATTTCTACAGTGTTTCAAGGTTTACAAAGCACTTTGTTCTGTAAGGATGATTACCCACATTTTGCAGATAAGGAAACTGAGGCTCAAAAAAGTCTGCTAACTTCCCCAGGGTCGCACAGAAAATGCCCAGTCAGGCCAGGACGGAAATCCAGGTGTTTTTCTGACTTCAGTCCTAGCACTCACGAACTCATAGAATTTGATCATCAGAAATGCCTCTGCAGCCTAGATCTAGCCTAATCCATGCCTGAGGGGGATCCCCACCTACAGCAAACCTGACTAGTAGATGCCTTAAAGGATGGGGAATTCATCACCACCCGGGGCCACCCAGTCCATTCTGGAACAGCTCTAATCGGTACAAAACTTATAGAGCCTCAGCTGGGCTCTTTGCAACATCCTCCTGGCTCTCTCCCCTGGGGATAAGCAGAATAAACCCAAGCCCTCTTCCACCTGTGAAGCCTTTAAAAGGGATCCTATTTCCCTCGAGTTTTCTCTTCTCCAAACTGAATGTGAGCAGTTCCTTCCATCGATTCTCACATGACAGAGAATCATTGTATCCACGAGGTCACACTAAATCTCTGATCGTGGAGCGCTGTGTGAGCTGAGAATCACTGAGAGTCCTCCCAGGGCTCTTGGGCTTGATAAGAGGCACCAGCCCCAGGAAGTGGAAGACTCTGTGCCCCAAGACAAGCTGTTTAGAGAGCTGTAAGCCCAGCACCCTGTGCAGAGTGGAACTGCAAGTGTTGTTGTCAGTTGGGAAGGTGAGGACTCTTCCACGGCGGGGGGGGGAGGGGGGGGGGGTAGCGTACACCTCAGGACCACAACCAGAGCACCAGGAATCAGATCTAGGGCCAACCACTGCTGAGCTATGCGACCTCAGGTCAGGGCCCTCTACCCTCTATGCCTCTGCTCCCTACAGGTACAAAGCTCTCAGCCTTGGAGCTCTCCAGCTGTTTTCAACTCAAAGTCCTCCATGAAATAGCCTGCACATTTGAGTTGTCTCTCAAAGGATGGGTAGGAATTCAGAAGGCAAAAAGGCCTGAATGAAAGTCCAGGGTAGGAGAGAAAGCAAAAGTGTCTTAATCTCTGGCCTTATGGCCTAAAGCTATTTAATAATAACCAGCATTAATGTAACTCTTTAATGCGTGCCAATCACTTCACAAATATGATCTCAGATTATCCTCGTAATAACCCTGGGAGGCAGGTGCTATTATTATCCCCATTTTACAGATGAAAAAACTGAGATAGGCAGAAGTCCAGTGATGTACCCAGAGTCACACAGCTAGGCAAAGTCTCGGGGGATTTGAACAGACTCCTAGTCTTGTGCTCTATGCCTGTGTGCCACGCTAAAGTCGGTGTGGAAGGTAGGCCCCATTTCTTTTCTATAGCTGCTTTGTTGTTGACCAGTCATTTTTCAGTTGCATCTTTGTGACCCTATCTGGGGTTTTCTTGGTAAATATACTGGAGCGCTTTGCCATGCCCTTCTCCAGCTCATTTTACAGATGAGGAAACTGAGGCAGACAGGGTTAAGTGACTTGCCCAGGGTCACACAGCCAGATTTGAACTCAGGAAGATGAGTCTTCCTGACTCCATGCCCAGGGCTCTATCCACTGCACCACCCAGCTGTCCCATATAGCTGCTTACGCAAGACTAATCACACTTTGAGTAATAGTACTGATTCTGATCAGTATGAGAGAAAAGCAGGTAACAGAACATGAAGCCAGCCTGGAGTGTGTCCACGTATACCCTGACAGCCTCACCTGGAGGTGCACACACACACACACACACACACACACACACACACACACACACACTCACATCCTTGACCTGTCAACAAAGTGGAGTGGACAGAGCTGGAGTCAGGAAGACCTGAGTTCAAATCTTGCTTTTGATTCATGCTGCCTGTGTGACCTTGGACCAATCAATGAACCCTTCAGTGTCCATGACAAAAGGAGCCACTCTCCATAGTTGAGGGCGTTTCTT